CTGGTTCTCAAATTTGTATATATAACTGCAAACAAGTGAGGGGAGCCAAAGGAAAACATCTTGAAACAAAAAAGAATAAAATTAGACGGACTCCCGCTAGCCACGTCGAGACGGTGGGGTCGTAGGGAGCCAGTAGCCACGGCACTCTAAGGTCTTCCTGGAGAGGAGCCACTTCCACCCAACACACCCAGAGGGGTCGAGGGGACGTTCCTGCCTTTATACCTTTGCCAATGAAGTGGTTTTTTTTTTTTTTTTTGGAAGATTTATTTATTTGACAGAGAGAGATCACAAGTGGGCAGAGAGGCAGGCAGAGAGAGAGGGGGGAAGCAGGCTCCCCGCTGAGCAGAGAGCCCGATGCGGGGCTCAATCCCAGGACTCTGGGATCATGACCTGAGCCGAAGGCAGAGGCTTTAACCCCTTGAGCCACCCAGGTGCCCCAGGATAAGTTAATTCTTGAAGGAAACGACACTGAACTTGTAAGCAACTCAGCTGCTTTGATCCAGTGAGTCACAACCCCTAAAAATGAGGCTATCAGAAAATTGGGGGGGGTCTCCACTTCTGAAAAAGGAGGAGTCCAGCAGGCGACAGACACGAGCGAAGCTGTCCTGCCCCAGAAACAGTAAGACGCCAGATGATTTTTCAGACTTATCTGCGATTGATGTATTGATTTGAGGAAAAAAATGTCTTTTTAAAAAAAAAAATATGGGCAGGACGCCTGGGTGGCTCAGTGGGTTAAGCCGCTGCCTTCGGCTCGGGTCATGATCCCAGCATCCTGGGATCGAGTCCCACATCGGGCTCCTTGCTCAGCAGGGAGCCCGCTTCTCCCTCTGCCTCTGCCTGCCATTCTGTCTGCCTGTGCTCGCTCTCTCTCCCTCTCTCTCTCTGACAAATAAATAAATAAAATCTTAAAAAAAAAATATGGGCAACATTGAATACCAACAGTGATGGCATTATCCTTCTTGATCTAAAATACAATTTTTAGGGGTGCTGGGGGGCTCAGTCAGTTTAGCGTGTCTGCCTCTTGATTTCAACTCAGGTCACAATCTCAGGGTTGTGAGTTCAAGCCCCACACGGGGCTCCGTGCTGGGGGTGGAGCCTAGTTTAAAAAATACACGTCTCTATAATTTTTTCAATTCCTAACTGGCTTTGAGTCTCGGGTTAACATTAAGTTGTTTGCCTGAAAATCTGTAAAGAAACTAAACTTCACAGAGACAGAAGAGTGTGCGTTTGTCACACAATCCGTATGTGCTTCTTCCTGTTTTCTCTGCAAACGAACTCATTTGTTCCAGGCACTGAAATTAGTAGAACAAAGTCAGTGGGTTTCAGCAGTCCCTTCCACTCGGTACGGTCTGTCACGCAGCACCACGGAGGCGTCAGCTGTCAGGGCCCCGCAGGCCGGCGCCTGTCACCGCACGCGGGTACACCAATGTGGGCCTTGTGAGGACACACCCAAGGCGGCTGCGTCACAGAGGAGGGCGCAGAGGGCTGGACACAGTGGGGTTCCCTCCGGAGGGCCGGGAAGCCCCCTCCGCCTCCTGCAGGTTCTGCCTGGGAAGCAGGCCTTTCCCTCACCCTGAGGCGCACTCCCGTTTCTCAGAAAGTCGGTGAAATCCTGTGCTGGTCTCATGGGGGGACTGAGGATCCGCGGTGACAGCAGTGAGGAGGCTCCGTGCTGGGGAGAAGCTGCAGTGCTCACGCCTTCTCGGTGGACCCCCAGGGGCGGGACCTTCTCCAGCACCTTGGCTCTGACCTTGACTCGGCATCCCGGCCGCGTCTCCGGAGGCCCTTCAACAGCGGCTGCACCTCGAGCCCGGGGACGTCCTGGCACATCTGTGTGGCTGCGTGGCGGCACACACACTGCTGTGAAGCCACACCCTGTGGGGGACGGTGGCCGACCAGGCATTCCAGAAACGCCCACGAGAAGCTGCTCAGGTGCCCGCGTGTAGCCGCACTCCACATCACCCAGGAAAACGTGTAAAGCTGGAAGGACCGGAAGCCAGCACTCCTGGGTCCATTTAAACTTTCCCGAAGTCCTTGCAGTACTAGGGGGAGGGGCGTCCCCTTGCTGCAAAGCCACTCTGCCTTATTCGGGGACAGAAACCCAGCCGGTGCAGCTAGATCCCAGGGGCCGCCCTGTCTTCTCTGGAGCTCGCTCCGATGCGTGGGATGCTGGGGGCGCGACTTGAGCTTCCTGCTCCATTGGACGCCACCACCGGCCACGTCACCCTTGGAGCCGGGAGGAGAAGGAGTCAGCAGAACCCCTACCACGGGATGGGCTCGCAGGACCACGACGGAGTGTGCTGGCCACCCTGAACCCGAGGAGGAGGAACCACCAGGCAAACCCGAACGTGGCCGCAGCCCCAAACTGGCCTGTAATCTTCAAAACCACAGTCGGAACAGACAAAGGGGACTAAAGGGCAGCGGTGTGCAGGCACACGCCTAGCACAGGTTCCCGGGGCAAAGGCCATGAGTTGTAGCGTTTGCCCATTTCCTCGGGGGAGTTACTGCCCCTCTCCCGTCAGCCAATTTCGTGACGTCACCGAACAGACGTGGGAAGAGACGCGTGGAGCTTCCGCAAGACAGAACGACAGACCCCACCCCGCCCCGCAAACTTGCGCGGCTGTAAGACAGTATGACAACGAGGAAGTGCTGACCTCTGTGTTTATCTTCGTTTAAAATAGAATTTAATCGTAAGTGTATATAATTTAATTTCTAATAATGGCTGTGTTTGACAAAGAGCTTGCAAATTTCCTGGAAATCTCCACCAAAGATAGGACAGGGAAGCATTAGGCGCGATTCCGGACTGGGCTTTGGATGTGGGGGAGAATGATATGAGGGATGTTGCCGATGGCTTGTGTGTTAGACGACGTTGCCTTTTCTGAGCTCATATTGTGTGGATAGAAGTACGTGCCCTGCTCTCAGGAGATGCACACTGAAGCATCTGGAGGTGGTACCAGTGTCCTGGGGCTGCCGTAAAGAACCCCAAACTGGAAATTTATTTTCTGCCGGTTCTGGAGGCCAAAGTCCGAAATCCAGATGTCGGAAGGCGCCTGGAGACTCTGAGGGAGAATCCACTTAAGAAAATGAACAGCCACGCTCCAGAGCAGGAGAAAACACATGGAAGACGAGTATCCGGCGAAGGACTAATATCCGGGACACGTAAGGAAGTCCCGGCGCCCAGTAACAGATGCTAGCCACCCCACCCTCAACAAGGGCAGCGTATGTGTGCGGACACGTCCCAGAGACCGCCAGCGAGGGGCTCCAAGCACGGGGAGAGGTGTTTGACCTCACCGGCCGCCGAACAGCACACCTGCCTGCCACCGAGCCCGAAGCCACCAAGGGCCGGGGGGCGTGTGCGGCCACGGGAAGGTGTGTATGCGGCGGGCCCGAGCGGCACGCGGCACCGCCACACTGCAGACGGCTTGGCCCTTTCTGGTGAAGCTCAACACGCACTTGCCACGGATCCAGAAACACCAATAACAGGAACGCATGCCAGGCGCTCACACGCCCGCGGGTGCCCGGGGAAATGGTGGCGCGCCACGCCATGGACCCCGGCCAGAGCATGCACGGCACGGACACCGCCAGACGCTCCTGTGTGTGCAGGTGGTGCCGGCCTGCACCCGGGCGGGACAGGGCTTCGCGGCGGACGGAGCGCGGCGACTCCCCGGCTCGGTGCTGGTCCCCGGCTGGCTGCCCCCGCGGTTACCGTCCGTGAACTACATCTCCGCGAGCAGCCCCAGGGAGGCCGCCCGCCACCTCCTGGGGCATGAGCGCCGTTTGGCTTCCGTGCGTGCGCCCGAGACAAGGGCGCGTTCCTCGGGGAGACGCTCAGCCAGCTGCAGCGCCCTGTGCTCTTTGCTCCACGTAAAGCTCTTTAATTCGGGCAACGTTAAGCAGAAAATACAGGGCTGGAGAGCGGCAGAGGGGGAGGGTGTGTGCACAGGGCGACGTTCCCTCTAGGGCCGCTCCCGCCCAACACGGACCGGCTTTCAGAGGCCGCATACGCATCGCCGACAGTGGTCACCCGCGGGACAACACGGCTGTGTCAGCTCACCTCACGGTCCTTCCGACGGCCCCTTGGTCCCCCGCGCCAGCCCGCCACGGCTGCTGCCACCTGTCTGCCAGCTCGTGCGCTGACACGATACTGTCCACGAGCGGCAGGCCCGTTCCCGCAACCGAAATGGCGTGACTCACAGGACTCACGAGACCTACCTGTGGCTGTTCGTAGTAGAGGAGAGTCGATCTGGAGGCAGAGGGTATCAGTCTCGAGTAGCCGCTCCCTCTGAGGCTGCGGTTCTTACCCCGTGGCAGCTGGACGCCTCCTCCCCTAAGGGACACCGGCCCACCAACCAGCCCTGTGGCGGGCGTGGTGGTGTCACCGCTTACCCTGGGCCTGTCTTATTTCGTCCTCAGCCACTGCAGAGGGGAGGAACCGGGACTCGAGAGGCTGCAGAGCACCCGAGAGTGAGAGAAACTCAGGGGAACCCCCCTCCGGGCTTTTTCTCCGAGGAAGTCCATGTCCTATAGGCCCACGAGGAACCATCCCCCTCCAGCCCTCCACTCGGGAGCTCAGGTCCCAGCTCGTCCCTGTCTGCGGGGCTCGGTGCTGCCTGCTCCCGCTCAGAGACTCCAGCGAGGCCAGAGCAGGCTGGTCTGGGGGACCATATGCTGACCGCTGCCCTGGCAAGAGATCCGGCTCCGGGCCGGTTCCTCGAGGCTGTCAGGCTCCTGAGAAGCCCATGGGCACGGAGGGAATGGCTCAGAGAGGAACATCGTTGCTGTTTTGACTGTGCACGTGGTAAGCAGAGACGGACTGCAAAGGCTGACCTGCCCCGGCCACCGCCCCCTCCCCCGCCGCGGTAACATCCTAGACTTGTCTAGAAGACCGAGAAAGAAAACCTGGTAATTATCGAGAGCTTTCCCGTACGTTATCTGGCAAGTGACCTGAAGAAGTTTAAATGGTTTGAAGGAGCCAAACGAAATTACACCAAGAACTTTACTGGTAACACCTTTTTAATAGGTCAAAGTAACTGTACGGTTCATTATATTCTTCCTGAGAATAATTTATATCCCCCGACAAACTAAAGGGAGGGTATATTTTTCAAAATTATTTAACAGAATGGATGGTGTAACTGGACATCAAAAGAAAACCGAATCTCTGCTTTGCTTAATTCTCTGCTGGGAAGACAGACACGATGAAGGGTTAGTCAGCTCCAGTGGCTGCGAGAGAGTCAACATGGCTTCATCTTTCTTTATAAATTATATAAAACTGGAAAACAGGGTTGGTTCCAGAACCTCTTCTCAGCGCAGCTCGGAGGTGCTCTGGTACAAAGCATTTCTGCTTCCAAGAGAAGTAACATTGCTACAAAAAACTGGCACATTATTCTGGTGAAAAAAGACAAGGTTTTTAGTGTGTTCTACAGCTAGCTTCCAACCAAATCTTCACATATCCGACAGGAAAGTAAAAGGCAGGAAAGACAAAAGGGTGGTTGTTTTTTCTGAAACGACTCAAGTCTTCAAAATATAGCTCTGACATTCCTTCTCTTAAAGCGGTGCTAGCATACGGCGACTCAAGAACGTTCTCCCAACAGAGACTCGAGTCCAGGCCGTGGCTCCGCAGCTCGCCGAAGAATTCTCAGCCCCTCGGGTTTCCCGGAATTCTCCGCCTCGTCTCCCCGTCTCCCGCCTCCCAACACATAGCCGAGCTGGTTCAGGATCCGCACACCACCACCGGGGCCACTTCCACGGAAACACCCTAACGTGAACACGGTCTGTTCTTCAAGATTCTTAAAAGCTTCTCACGAACAATTTTCATTCTCAGAAAAATGCCACGTTTTGGATCCTGGACTTTTCTGAACGCCATGATTAAAAAAAAAAAAAGGAGAAGAAAGAAAAGAAAGAGACAAAAAAACTGAACTCAAATCAAATGTGGTTAGATTTAAATGAAAGAGCTTTCAACCAGCTGTCAGTCACAACCGTTGGCGCGGCACGAGCCGGCGGCCGAGGACCCGGGGCCCCTCATGCTGGTGGAACGCGGGAGAACGTCCGCGGAGCGCGCCCTCAGTGCGGCCTCGTGGGTCCAAGCATCCGCAGTCTCGCTTGGTCAATGACATCGAGTAAGTTTTTGGCGTCCACGGCCAGGGCGTGAGCAGCGGTCAGCATTTGCTTTTTATACTCCTGCTGGAGGCTGGTCATGACGTACTGCTGGGCCAGTTTCATCTTGTTGATGAGCTCGCCCAGGTCGGAGTTCAACAGCTTCTGGGCCATCTCAATCTGGAAGGACGAGAGAGAGGTCAGGAGAGGAACGTCGTGTCAGCTGTTCCTCGGGCACCGCCCAAAGCAGCTTTCTTCCCCTTACATCGCCGTCTGGTGGAACCTCGGAGGCCACGAGGCCCAGAGCCCTCCCATCAGAGGGGACAGTGGGAGAGCTGCTGAGGTCGGCCAGCCGGTGGCTGCCGGTCGACACAGACACCCAGCTCTGCACTCACAACCGTGTCTCGGGCTCACACCCCTTCTCCTGGGTGAGAGGCGACCCCCGAACTGCTGGGAAGGGGCAGCAGGGCCGCGGAGCCGGAAGAGGCCGCCCTGAGGGTCAGCGCTCTGCCCGCGTGTCTCAGAACCTTCCTCGCCTGTTCAAGCAGAAACGTCCACCGCTCAACCCTTAACTACGGCTGAGTGCGCACACACGAGGCCCCGTGTGCAGACACACGAGTGCGTCAGACACACCCGGGCTCGGTCGAGTGTGAAGCCGTGCACGACTCCCTCGAACACACTGGGACGAATCCCACGACAGAAGACCAGGACCCTCTGGGAAGTCGTTTGAAATTGGCCTCGACCGTACAAGGAGGCTGGCGTTGTCTGAGGAGGGCCTCACGGGCCCCGCTGAGTCACCTCCGTCCTGCTGACCGTGCCCGTGGGGAGGCCGAAGAGATTTGGGGGAAGGGGAACACCATCCTCCACACGGGTGTTCTAGAAAGAGCGCTCTGGCGGCAGAGCGTGGACGCGGAACGGAGGGGCGGGAAAGTCAGAGACAGAGAAGGCAGCTCAGAGGCTGTTGTGGGAACCAAGGGACAAGGGCACAGGGACAGTGAGGCCAGGCCCAGGCTGTGACGCGATGACGCGGGTGGGCAGCTGCTCGTCCGTGCGTGTGGGCGCGTGGGGCTCACAGGCACAGGCATGTCCAGTGCGTGGTCCCGCCAACTGCGGAAGCGAGCCGGAGCCACGGGCATCCCCCACACGGCTGAGGTCCCATGGAGAGCACAGAGCTGGACGCACGGGACAGCGACCTGTGCACGTGCTGCAGGGCCGCCCCAGAGAAGCTGCACTCTGGAAGGCGTGCGTGTTGGCTGCCCGTGCGGTCCCCGGGGGCGGCCACACTCAGCGCAGGGGGAGGAGGAGCCGGGACTGGGGGAGCAGGGCTGCCAGTGGCCCCCGCGGCAGCTGCAGGAGAGGACGGGGGATGGGCTGCTCTCTGAGGGAGCACGTGGGGGGGAAGGAAGGGGGGACAGATCAAAGAAAGCTCCTCTCCTTATTCAAGATATGAATGGGAGAGCGAGCTGTGCAGAAGACTCAGGGTAGATGGAGAGTTTATGTCAGGCTTTATCAGCTAAAGGAGTATTTTTGAAATGGCCCCGCCAAAACATTTACTTGTTAGGATACAATTTTCTTGCCTTTGGCATACAGAACTTCTCCACTGTTTGGAAAATTCTGGCTGAAAAATTCTGAAAAATCTGAAGATCAATTAAAGTCCCAATGAAGTAGAGGACTGAGCTAATGTCCTAACCGGCTAGAAAAATACAATTCCACAAAGCAAGCAGTCAGGCATTTTCCAAAATGATTTCGGTGGTTTCGTGCAGGTGAACGGACGCCCTTTGCAAAGGCAGCGTGGAGGGGCACTGGGCCAGGTCCATCGAGACGGGCATCACCGGGCCACCAGGAGCCTCAGACGCCAAGTCCCAAGGGGCACTCAGCCTCCATCTGATTGGCAGGAAACCTCAATCATTGCAGAACACCCCTCAACCCCACTTGGGGAATAAACACTGTCGAGTAACCAGCCATATTCTTCCAAAATGCTGGCGGCGGAAAGACAAGAGTCTGAAGGACCTGCTCTAGGCCAAAGCAGACTACTGGACAGACGTGTGGGGTCGGGCAGGACACACAGCCCTGCCAGCCTTGAACTGGAGGGTGAGGCAACTGGACGCGACTGCCCAAGCGCAGGGGTGCAGACGGCCCAGCTGTCCAAACGCTCCAGGTCAGAGAACAGCCTCCTGACGGGAGAAACGAACGGAAACGTGGAGGGTAAGAAGCTGACGCACGTGACCTACTCTCACACGGTTCAGAGGATGGAGGCTGCGGGTGTAGACAGAGACAGAGAACGTGGGAAATGTTAGCAGCCAGTGAAACTGGGCTGAGGACGTGTGGGAATTCTCCGCACCGCTCTCCCAAGTTTTCTCTACGTTTGGCACCACTGCAGAGACCAAGCCGACGCAGGAGAAGAGCCCGCGGGGCTACGGGCTGGGCGGGAGGAGAGCGGGCGCGGGAGCAGGAGGGAAGGGGAGTGGGAAGGGGGAGCAGGGCCAGGGCCATCCCGGACTCCAAAGGACACAGCTGCGTGTGCACGTGCGGCCCGAGGGCCGCACACTTCTGGAGGCCGGGAGCACCCCGGAAACCGGCACGGCTGGGAGCGTTCTGAAGACAAGGCAGGTGTGTCTGCTCGTTTGTTCGTCAACACATGGTGCAAAATGGCCAAAAATAGCAAAAATGAGATTATCGCCGAGAGATAGTATTTTTGGTCAACTTTGAATTCCTCAAAAAAATTTTAAAATGCAAGTATTAAGGCACTTTTTGTCACTGCTTTATGTGGGAAACCAGCATCGTTTGCAAACTATAACTTTTTCAGAGAATCCAAGGCAGGAGGGCAGGCTGCCTCTCTCAGCTCATTTCCACTGTCCTCTGGCCTCTACCTGAGCTGCTGCTGAAGGATCCGGCCCGCACCTAGCTCTGCACCCGTGCTCCCCACCGTCCCCAAAGCCTCCCGTCCTTCGGGCACCCACCGCCCCTAGCTTAGGAGCAGGCAGTGAGGGCGTGGACCTAACCAGCCCCTGCGGGTGCCGCTCCACCCTGCCTCCAAGGCGCACGGCCCCAAGCTGGCAGGCCCGCCAGCACCCGAGGGCCCCCGGCTGGGAGGTCTTGATTTCAGAGCAGCTGGAGCATGCCAGCCAGCCCCGAGCCCGGCTGTGTCCCGCCCGCTCCGTCAGCACCAGGTCCTACCTCTCGGTGAGTGCTGGCTGGCAGGACTGGAAGGGTCTCGTCCACGGTGGCCAGTAATGTCCGCAGGGCCAGGCCGACTTCCTAGGAGACAAGCCCACACCCGGGATCAGAACACGCACAAAGGGCTTTCACACCAGGAGTAACGCCTCCTCTCAGTTACGGGGCTGTCTCGTTCCCAACACTTGAAGGAAAATTACTGAACTTCTTTTCCTCAGTACTGACTCTGATCTGAAGTGATCAGGCGTTTCCCCCAAAGACGGGGCTCTCGGAATACTCAGTTTGGTCCCCGACGGAGTGGGAGTCAGCCTTAAAGAGACGGACATTCCGACACCTGTGGCAGCGTGGACGACCCTGTCCAACACTGTCCTCAGAACATGAGCCCATCCCCACCGGAGAGATACAGGATGACACCATTCCCCCTGTCGACTCTGCATCCTGGAGTCCCCGTGTTCACGGGGACAGGGAGCAGATGGGGTGCCAGGGACGGGGGAGGGGCACCGCTGTTTGCAAGGTGAGAAGAGTTTTGGAGATTAGTTTTCTAACAATGTGATTGTAGGTAACACCGCGGCAGGCTGAATGGTGGCAAGGACGGTACATTCTACGTTCGGTGTATCCTACCACACTTTAAAAAAGTGTGTTCAATGGGGCATCTGGGGGCTCGGTCATTAAGCATCTGCCTTCAGTTCAGGTCATGGTCCCAGGGTCCTGGGATCGAGCTCCACACCAGGCTCCCTGCTTGGTGAGAAGACTGATTCTCCGTTTCCCACCCACCCTGCTTGTGTTGCCTCTCTCACTGTGTCTCTGTCAAATAAATAACAAAATCTTAAAAAAAAAAAAAAAGTGTGTTCAAGGATGTGTTCCAGAAATAGAAGCTGAAAGCAAAGCTTCATGGCACCCTTTGAGCTGCAGAGTCCCTGAGCTGGCACACGCCAGTGGACCCTGTCCAGGGGCACCTAGCCTCCCTCAGAGCTGCCGGCACTCTCTTCCGGGACGCCAGGCCCCTGAGCGCAGCGTGGAAAGGTGAGGCTGGTGTTGAGTATTTTCATTTCTCTTTCTGCCCTTATTAAAAAAGATTTCGTGAGCACATATGCACCTGCCCCCCAGCGGAAGAAAACAGAACAGATAAATCCCCCGACTTCCCTCTCCACGGCGTCCCCCGCCCCCTCCCCGGGCGGCATACGAAGGTCAAGGGCTCTCCTCGAGCACTGGCGCTCCCGCAGCAGAGCCGGGTGTCCCGACGGCGCGCACACAGCACCGGTCCGCACACGTTCTCACTTCACGGCGACGGCATCACACCACAGGCCGGGGTGACACCGTCCTGCCGCTCGACTTTTTTCACGCAAGACCCCGAGCGTGAGCAGGGACCGTTAGAGCCTGAGCTGCCCCAAGCGGCAGGGCTGGGACGGCAGTTTGGTCTGACTCAGCTCGGGCAAGCGCGGCGCCGGCGCGCTCGGGTTTGGAACCATCGGGTCTGACCGCGGCTTCCACGATTTTAAGAACATTTCCTCGGGAGGGAGGGTGGGTTTTACCTTCACCATGGGAACGTACTCCTCCGGCGGGGCTGGCTGGATCTTGCTGGACATTTCGATGACAGCCTTCACCAGGCCCGTCACATTCTCGTACACCCTGTCGTTGGACCGGTCCAGGTTGGCCGTGGGCGGGGGGCTGATTTCCTGAGGCGGAAGCTGCAACACAGAAGCCGTTATGCCCCCAGTGGCCACAAGGTGGTGGCACCTCACCGCGGCCGGGTTTGAGGGGTCTTTAAAAGAGATCAAAGCGGATTGCAATTGATCGGCTTGTCTGTAGGGCTACAGCTCACCGGGAGGATGACAGTCAAGTACTTCATCCAAGGGACAAGTGAACGAGGCAATCGTTTTTGTGACTTTGAGCTCAGTTAAAGGAAAGGAAGTGGAATCACCGCATGACATGGAAAGCCCCAGATTCTTTCAGAGCAGTGATTCGAGGCCCCAGAATCACCCACCGAGAGAGAGTTCGTGTAGTCTGCGTCTGCGATTTCACAGGAAGCTGGCTGGGGGCTCAAGCGTCCTATGTTAGGACTCTAATCCCACTTAGTTATGTGGCTCGGCATAGCCGCCTTGAGACTACATCAGGGACACGTGTGTCCCTTCCACGACTGAAACAAGGGGACAGATACGAGCCTCGTGAAGTGGACGCGACTGCGCCGCACTGCAGGAGTGAGGGAGACGGCAGTGTCGCCAGGAGCCCCGTGGTGCACGTGCCTGTGGCTGGGCCTCGGCTCGTCACTGGGCCATTGGGGCAAGGGGGACCTGAAGGAGCTCTCCGGCACACGCCCACCCCAGCACCTGGCACAGAGACCCCGATGGATGTCACCCATGAGAAGCCAAGCACTGAAGGCTGGTGAGCGCCAGGCCCACGGAACGTGTCCAACGGCATCTCAAAGGTCACATGGGTAACACGGGGCACAGAAAGGGCCATACGTGTCTATTTTAAGAAAACTAGAGCGCAGTACAAAATCGTAGCTGTCTGCCGATGGGTCTAGGGACAAGCGCTCAGCCTAAACTCCTAGGTGCCCACTCTGAACCTCTGACTCTGTCCAAGGAACCTGGAGCCCAGTGTTCAAGTCCGAGACAGCCACGGACAGGAAGAGTCAGTCCCTGCACAGAGGCTCGTGCCTCACTCTCTGGCAAGTGAAGACCTTGTCTCTGGGGACAGGCCAAGCCAAGGTGCCCTCCCCAGGCTTCCTGATTTCTGCCCCAGAGTCACATGCAGAGCACCAGGAGTGAAGGAGTGGGACAGACACACAGACATCACGTGCTTACCCTCCATGGCTATTGTTGAACGGGAGGTGAGGAAAAGTTAGAGAAATTTATCAGAGAAAGGGAAAAAAGAAAAACAGTATTAATAAAGGCAGCAGACAAAACCCACAAAAACATACGAGCAGAACCAAAAGGAGCGAGTCTGAGCCTGCCTGGGAGCCAGCCCTCGGCTCCCTGGTCATCCAGGCACCACAGCCGGGTGCTCGGTCCAGGGTGCCGGCGCCCTGCCGTGTGCCAAGCTTGTCTTCAGGAAGTAAATGACGAAAACAATACGCAAAGCCCGAGAGGGACAACCCAGCGGCCATGCGAGAAGCAAGCGTTAGGGGTCCTCAGAGAGAAGAGGACTTGAGATGCGCTTGACATGCCTGGGAACTGCCCGTCGGGCTTCTGGGCCACCGGGAGAGACTGTCCCACCCCTGCTCCCCACACCCGGCCCCTGGCGTCCTCGGAAGCAGGCTTTGACGTAGGCTCTCCCCCAAGAATCAAGACCCCTGGCTTCAGGCTGAGTGTGTAAAGGCATCAGGAGCTTAGTTTAAAAACAAAAACAGAACAAAGAAAACAACCCTTCTTTTGAGCTAAGTCTTACGTTTCAAGCTCCTTTATTTCAAACTTAGAAGTTTTATTTAATGTTTTTTCTTCTACAGCTTCCACCAAGACCACCCTATCGTAACTTGAAAGACCAAGTTAACTGGGCAAAGACGGCTCTCTTGCCCCCCCCCTTGGCTCTGCCTGAAACAGGTGTAGCCTTTGGTATAGGAGTTCAGCAGAATCTTTTTTTTTTTTTTTTTCTTAAGCAGGAAAGACATTATCCTTTCCTTTTTTTTTTAAAAAAAAGATTTTATTTATTTATTTGACAGGGATCACAAGTAGTCAGAGAGGCAGGCAGAGAGAGAGAAGGAAGCAGGCTCCCTGCTCAGCAGGGAGCCCGATGTGGGGCTCGATCCCAGGACCCTGGGATCATGACCTGAGCCAAAGGCAGAGGCTTTAACCCACTGAGCCACCCAGGTGCCCCGGAGTTCAGCAGAATCTTAAATGTCAAGTCCAACCTTCCACAGTGAGCGTCCCTGCATTAGAAAGAGGGAGATCACTCCTACCACTTCACTCAAGAGAAGACACCCCTGTCTCTCCCTTTCTCCGCCGAGAGTCACACATGGCCCTGTGACGAACTCGGCACAGTGTGCCACTTCAGGCTGGCCCAACACAGAGGCCCATCTTCTGCAACTGGTGCCATGGGCGGAGCTCCATCAGGAAGATCCTCGGCCATTCGGGGCTCCCGGAGGCAAAGGCTGCCTTATGCTAACCTACTTAAAGCTTCTGTTCTTCCGTGTGTGCCCTGGGCCCAATCAAGGCGGGCCACAGAAGCTCCGGCCCAGTGCCTCCAGCCACTGTGCACAGTAACCCCCGCAAACCCAGAGCGCAGTTTCCGGTTGCCCGGGGCTTGCCGACTGGGAGGCTCCTTGGCAGGCAGCTGGGGTAGAGCGCCCCGGGCGCCCTGGAGACACACACAGCTCCAACCGCTTCGGCGGTGCTTCAGGCCTCAAGCAATCCAGAAGTGAGACAAAGCCGCCAAGGAGAAACCCAGATGGGCTTCCGATTGATGTTATCTGGATGAACTCGAGTCATGCCTAGAGACCAGCACGTCTTTGTTAAACTAGTATTGTTCTTTGAGGCTGGAGTCAGTGAGCTCTACTGAACAGAAGGGTAAGAAAGAGCTAGAGACGCCGACTTCATACTTATTATTATTGTTATTTTTAGGTAGGCTCCACACGCAGCACAGAGCCCCAGGAATTTACGACCCTCAGATCAAGAGTCAGATACTTAACCACCAAGTCACCCAGGCACCTCTGTTTCATACTTATTATTAAAGAAAACTTTGCTTAATATGTTTTATGGGGCAACTGGGTAGCTCAGTTGGTTGAGCGTCTGCCTTCAGCTCAGGTCATGATCCCAGAGTCCTGGGATCGAGTCCCGCATTGGGCTCCCAGCTCTGTGGGGAGTCTGCTTCTCCTTCTGACCTTCTCCCCTCTCATGCTTTCTCTCTCGCTCTTTTCTCTCTCAAATAAATAAATCTTAAAAAAATACACTTTAGGTAAGCACGCTATATCCATCATGATTTCTCCTTGCTTAACACCCTCCTTGAGGGTATTTTCCAATTACATTCATTCACGCTATTACAACCGTAACGGCAAACATACGTCAGATTCTAAGCTGGTATCTGAACCGTTTCTCAAGTTAGTTTTCCTTATAATACAAGCCATTTTGAAAATGTGCTCTTGTGGCTCATGTAAATGACAAACTCCGTTAACCTAATTTCTCCCTCTTCCCTTTTTAAATTCATGCCAAAAAACCCCATTAGGAAGGGCCACATCCCCATTTGCTCCTCATTGAATACCCCGTGCGGTGCCCCCAAGCTGGAGGCCACCAGATGCCAGGCCCCGGGCCGAGCTCCAGGACCAGCGCTCTGGTGTCCAGGGGGGCTGACCAGTGGCACTCAGAGCAGGGGTGCCTCTGGCCCAGTGGGGCCTGGGCTGCATCCCTCAGGGGGCAGCTGGGTCTAGCCAGGGCCAGCCCGTTCACTCCCTGCTCACCGCCCTTCTGGGCCAGAGATGGCATTTCTCTCTGCCTAGGGCCTCCTCTCTTTTCTCTGGGAACCCCCAGCCAGCTCGCTAAATGCTGGCTCAGCTAGGGAGCCTGTAACCTTGACTCTGCCCTTTAACCTCTGTGAACCCTGCTGTCTCCCGTGAAAAGTGGAAACAATATTGCCGCCATCAACCCTGTGAGGCTAATGCGAGGACAGGTTCAGTCACAGCGCGCCACCGCACCTGGTACAGGGAGGGCCTCCAGGAGCTGGGTTATTAGTGAAACAAAGTTTCTTTTAACTGATAACATAGTTACCAGAATTTAAGACCCAATCCGATGCAGGAGGCACCTTCCTAACTTTCCTCTAAGAAAAAAAAGCTGCCTATTAAACCACCACGTCACCGATTTTAGAGAGATTAAAATGTACAAAAGAGGTATGTCAGAATTAAGAAACAAGACGTATTTTGAGAGGTGACTGATCTCTCAAGGAAGAGCAGAGAGATCCTCTCATTAAATGGGCACGAGAGAGAACCCTCGCCTTTGCTTCTTGTGGAGGAGAGCTGCTTCCGAGGGACCCAGGGGCCAACATGGCAGGGGCTGGTGGAGGCCGGGGTGGGGGGGCAGCCAGGAGCCGTGACAGGCCCCCCGTGACGCACAGCGGGGCGGCGCTCCCCGAGGCGAGGAGCAGCTGTGGCCGTCCGCGCCTGAGCCGCAGGCTCCCCCCTCTGAGGCGCGCCCGACCCCAGGGCCGGCTGCACGCGGTCCACGCTGCCACTACCAGTGCTGTCCTTGCCCCAGGCGGAACATGGTGGCCGTTTTCCACCAAGCTCTACTGACACACTTAAGAGACAAAGTGAGCCTGCAGAAGAGCTCCTTTCCCCAGGCGTCTGGATTTATTAAAGCCATCCCAGCACTTTATTCCCAAGGAACATTCTGTCTGATAAGAGGACACCCTATCTAGAAGTTGGGCTCTGACTGAGGCCCGAGACTCTGTCATGTGAGAGAAAACCAGGCAGGTCAGGCTCCCGTCAAGCTTGTCCCTGACTCTCGGAGGGGTGCGGAGCCCGAGCAGACAGACGCCTGGGACCCACAGCAGCGCCACTCTGCTCCTTCTGTCCCAGCGCTGGTTCCAGATCACCGACCCCAGAGCGAGAGGCCCCACAGAGCCCTGAGCAGAGCTCGGGCTCAGATGCCTACCTTGACGCCCTCATTGTAACTGTCCCCGGGGCTGCTGAGGCTGGCGAGGCTGCCCAGGTGACCGGGGGCCCCAGGCCGTGGCGGTTTCTTTGGCGGAGCTGCAGGATCTGGTGAAAGGGGAGCGTCCGTTAAGCGCGGCGCGATCACCCATGGAACAGAAACACCCACCTCGACACCCAGCACGAGTCCCGTTACGGCAGATACACTCGTCTCAGGGCACGCTACCGAGGCGTTCCTGATGTGTTAGAGCAGGGAGTTCTGTTCTCTAATATTCCAGCCATAGGCTGAGCTCGGGAAACATCATACTTGCTTTGGCCCGTGGAGGGAAAAGTGTTAAAAAATCACGAGGTGTTTCAACGCTAAGAAACTCCACATGTTCAAAACCTGCTCCCTCTAAATTATAAAAGCTTCTTGATAATTCGTTCCTTCACTTACCTGGCTTCCCCACAGGCTGATAGATGTGTTGGTTTCCAGTCTGTGGGAAAAGCAAAGCTCGGTGACCCCACCAGCACACACTACAGGGCACGGACTTCCCTCCCTCCCCTCCCCTTCCATCCCCTTGCACATGTGTGTGAAATGCTGGGTTCAAAGACTGACAGGATGGGGGGCTGCCTTCGAGGCCTCACTGGGGGTGGGGGTTTAAAACCGCAAGAATGCCAGCAGCTGTGGGAAGAGGGCTGTGACAGAAGCAAGTGTGGGATGGTATGGCAATGAGGACAGGAGTCGTCACAGGCAATTTAGAATTTCCTTTAAAAAAATGACACCCATGGATGCCTCCAGTTCACGTCCCAGGAGTGCGAAATCCAGGCCTCTGCAGCATCTGCGTCCTTTGCTCGGGAAGCTGCCTCACAGCCTCCCGGATGTTCTCCTCACAGGGAGGGGTACAGTTGGGGACAGTGATAATGGGAGACTCAGTGGCACTGGAGCATTCTTCATGCCTATGTTGCCACTGTCACCCAAGCCCGTGTGCGTCAGGACCTGCTGCGACGGCTCTGTCCGTTTGGGAACAAGCCAAAGCGCGAGCCCAGGATTTCCACCCTGGGGGCAGGACAAAGGCTGTCCCACTGAAGGCCGCTCTGCGTGGGCCGTCCCATCTGCGCTCTGCAAACAACCTATTCTAGGGCAGCTAAACGGAAAGAAGTCTCTTTAGAACCACATTCTAGGGGCGCCTGGGTGGCTCAGTCGTTAAGTATCTGCCTTCGGCTCAGGTCAGGATCTCAGGGTTCTGGGATCGAGCCCCACATCAGGCTCCCTGCTCAGTGGGGAGCCTGCCTCTCCCTCTCCAGCTTCCCGCTTGTGTTCCCCCTCTCCCTGTGTCTCTCTGTCAAATAAGTAAATAAATAAAATCTAAAAAAAAAAAAAAAAAGAAAGAAACATATTCTACTTCTGAAGAAACTTACCTGGCTTAATTTAAAATAACAAACTAGCTAAAAACATACATATTTTCAGGTGCTCTACTTTCTGCCGTGAAGAGAGGCACTTCTGTAAAACGCGAGGACGGAGCGCGCACACGGTGAAAACCGCTCCCCGCCCGGAAGCGCACGAGCTGTCCCCGCACTTTCACAGCCGAGCTTCGAGGCTCCCAGACGCTCAGAGCCGGCTAGTGTGAAGGATGAGGGCTCCTTGCCGCTGACTTTGTGCAGCTGTCCCCAGTCCGCCTAGCCAACCCGACAGTTACCGAACACCTGCTTTGCTCCGGACACAGAACAAGCGCCCCCCCACCCCTGCCCATGGAGCGGCCGATGTAACACAGGCAGTGACAGCAGGTGCACACGACAGCACGTCGCCAAGCCGGGTGGCAAAGGGACATGGGTCGGGGTGGGAGGGGAGGACACGGCAGGTCTCAGTGGGAAGATCAGGCCTTCTGAGAACGTGACCTTGGCACACCCCGGGTGGGGGACTTGGGTGGGGGAAGTCGTGAAGAAATCTGGGAGGAGAGTGGCCCAGAGACGGGGGTCCCCCAGGAGGGGCAAGCAGCATGGGAGGAACCGGGGCCAGGGGAGGTGGAGGGTGAGTGGGGCCGGAGAACCCCAGGAAACACGGCCAGCCTCCAGAAGTGGAGCAGTCCGTGAGCTGTGTTGTGCTCACTGATCCAGGCAGTAAAATGCACACGTTTAAAAAGACTTCAAACACAAAGAATTTTCTGGCTGATACCCAGATTACAAGAAAATTCAACTAACTAGAAAATTCTATCGTAAGGACATTCTGGATTGATTCAGCAAGCGTATGCACGATGCACTGTTAGGCCATTCCATAGGTCGCTCTGGGAGGGAAGGCACAGGCGAGTCCCTACTCCAGAAGTCTGACGGACGAGTGTGCAGTTGGGTGCCTTCTGTCCTGCGGCCTATTTAGCTACTGGCCCTGGACCTCGGAGAAGACTAGACTTGAAGTAGGCAAGAGCTAAGGAACAAGCCATAATCACTGGCTACTGGAACTTGACCCCATCAACTTGCAGGAAAAGCGAAAACCATTTGGATTTTCAAAATAACATGCACGTTGACAGCAGGTTCACCTTGTGACGACCCCCGCCCCCGTCCAGGCATGTGTATGAGCCATTTTATTGGCCTCAGCTAACGCATCAGAAAACCAGAGCCCCGAACAGTTGAACAACTTCTCCTTGAAGCCAAGGCACATTTTCCAAGTGTTAAGTTGGAGCATTTCAAGAAGCAGGCCAGGTCACACTGTTACCTCAATTTAGCACAGGCCGGGAGAGGGAAGAGCAGAACGGTCACAGTGTGTCACCGGCCTCCCGGCAGGAAGCGACCACCTGAACCACAACCCTCACAGGGAGCCGTCGTGTTCGCCAGTGCACAGGCTGGGGTCTGGCACGGAGACAGGTCACTTTGAGCAAGTTTTCCACAAGCCTCAGTTTACCCCTTTGTAGGGTGTGGATGGCAACAGGCCTGGGTCTCAGGGAGGCTGTCCTCAGGGAGGACAGCACTCAGCACAGCACCTTGCAGCACTAGGTACTTTCTTGTCAGCACTAAGCACTCCCGCTGCTGCCCAGGCCTGGGCGACAAGACCGCAAGCAGACCTGTCCCATGTCGTCCGCTCCACAGAGCATTTCTCTAGAACCTTCTATCCACGTCTGATTCACTCCCTGATTCTCCCAGTCCATGTGCTCTCTGGGGGCCTACTATGTGCCACGCATAGGAAAACACACTACCTCCCTTTTCTAACAGAACAACCCAGTCCCTTGAACAGGGTTTACCTTCACGCTGAGGCTCAGTCGTACCAAGTGAGGATGACTACCGGTTCACCTTCTCGATCTAAGGAAGGAGCTGAGTGTGTGGAACGTTCAATGGCAGGTAATGGGACTTCGTGCTCGTGAACCAGAGCCCACTGTGCCAGCACACTTTGACGGGAGGGGTCAGATCTTCCCGTGCTGGTGACTGAGCACATCCTCTGGGGGCCAGATCTCAGGGGCAGCTGGACTGCACAGCACGGGTTCGAGAAACTCCTGGTAGGTCACTCCACGCGGTGCATCTCGGGGTTGGGTGAGGACCCAGCCTTGGGCACACACGTATGAGTGTTTAGAAGTAAACCGGGAAGCCCGGGGAGGTGGACGCTTTATCTCCACGGCTCCGCCACTCGGCGGCTCCAGACTCTCTCCTGTCCTGGAAACTTCTTTACACGTTTAGAGAAATCTGCTTGTATTTTACTCAAACTTCTGCTGATGGAAATCTTAATGAAATGATTTAAACTACTCTCCCTAAAAGATTAGGGAATATTTCTAGCAGGCTTTAAAAATATTTCGAATAACCGTAAGCCAGCTCTTTAAAGAGAATTTCAGGCACTTCCCCCTACAACACACGGAGGAAAAAAAATTCTACATAAGTGTCCTGTGACATGGAAATATATTAGCACACACTAAGAGTGCAAACATGTAGCAAAGGCTAGCTTACACACGCTAGCAGCACGCACGCGGGTTTCTGGAGAGCACAGAGCCCGGGGAGCGTCGCACTGAGCTGTGCACGACAGCTTCCAACGATCTGGGCCAAAATGTTCGCTTTACTTAAAGAACGGATTCATGTGTTCCAGGTTACGAAGGTGAGTGAGTGTGGGTATCTTACGCACAAAGCGATGGCCCCGTCCATCCTGGCAAGAACTCTACCGCTGCTTACCGGGCCCTGGAGGCTTCCGTCTTCCCTGTCAATGCTGCCTCGAGAGAGCCGGACGTCGGGTTTCTAAAGCAGAGAAAACAAAACCAGACAGTTTCATTCCTGGTTGGAGAATCACGGACATATTCTGTATTCGGTTCCTTCCTCAAACAACATCATCATCCCCTGAACAAGCGCGGTTGAAAGTTCCCCAGTTTCAGAAAAATCCTCAAACCCCACGATGACAAAGCCAGGTCAGTCGTCGCGGCAAAGCCACATGTGCAGGGCAAAGAGGAGGGCCCTGCGGCCGCACGCAGCCCGGGAAAGCCTGTCTTCTCCGCTCCTCCTAGCACCGCACAGGGTTTCTCCTTGACAGAGAGGCCTCTACCCCGGGTGCCGCTTCCTGGCAGAGTGGGGCTCGTCTGTCCTTGGCTGTATGGCCGAAGCAGCGGAGTCCAGTCACGCACCACTCCCTTTCCCCGCCCACCGCATCCACGATTCAGAAACCACGCGGATAAAGCTGGATCTACCACGAATCAGAGTATGTGAATTTCACGAACCCCCCAACAGACCGAGGAGGTTACATGCCATCATGGTACAGCATGTGTTAGAAGGTCTGTTCCTCCTGAAGCCCAGGATGTGTGGTGGCCTCCTGCCTGCCCGACACCCGCTCCACGGCCACGCGGACTCCCGCCTCCCCTTTGCCCGTGTGCTCCGGCCCCAGACCCCTTCTCAGGGGGCACTTCCCAAGGCCTCTCCAGACAGGACGGCTCCTTTCTTGGTCTCTGCCAGTCTGCTGAATCTTACAGAGATCCTCTCTGTGGCAGGAATCCCGCAGTAATCACTTCCCTCATTCGACAGAGAACGTCTCGATGTCTGATTTGTCCTGTCCACCCTACACCTGCGAGGGCCCGGCACTGAGCACGGAGGACAGAACGCATAAGTGCTAGTGGGTGGCGGTGTAGTGGGGTGGGGGGAAGAGGTGAGAAAGCAATGAAGTTTATCTGCCTTCTTATAAACGTCTGTTTACAAAAATGAAGACATGCCATAGAATTTTCTATCCTTTATGTAACATTATGTAGTGGAAATTGGTCAAAACCAGGTTAATAAGCTGCAGTACCCTCCTCGCCCGCCCCCTGGCGTGAGGGCAGTCACACACGGAAACGGACAGTGAGGTGAACCGGCTCTGGCGTCAGGCAGCCTGGGGTCGGCTCAGGCTCCGGCCCTTTCAAAGCTGAGTGACCTGGGCCTTAGTTTCTTCCGCTTTGAAACAGCGCAGTCATGGTAGCCGCTGTCCGGGCCTCATGGGAGCAGTAGATAAATGAATACTACAGACCAAGCCGGCACCGCAGAGAGGCTCACGTGAAGGAAACAGTTCTGTCTGCTGAATGCCGAGGCCCTTTTCAAAATTTCGACTGTGAAAATAGGTTGTGGGTGTAGACCTCTGTGCGGCAATGTTTCACGATGTCCCTATTTCCGTAGCACAGGTTTCTAAGGATGGAATTTCTGAGTCCGAGGGTTGGAGCATCTGACAAATCCCGGCTCGAGCTGCCCAGTGGGCGCGCTGTCCGGGGTTACCGCTGTCCGGAGGCTCCCTCCGGGCCTGCACCGCGGCACTGCCATTGAAAACGTAGCCAGTTTAAGAAACAAAATACTGTATAGATCCACGCTCCGTTCATACACATTGGAACACCTCTGCTTCTTCCCACCGGATGCCAGGCCCCGGGAGGACGGAGGCCTTGGGCTGTTGGCTTCCTCCACTCTCTCCGTGACTGGGTAGGAACAGGACATGCAGGTGGGAGGAAATGCAGCCCCTGCACGACTGACCGTGAACAGTGGCCATGCCCCTTGGACAAGGCATCCAACATCTCCAAACCCATCATTTCTCAGCTGGAAAAGGGGTAGCCACCTCGTACAGTGACTATAAAGATTAAGTACGTGCTTGGGACAGTCACGTGTGTACTGGACATTCAGTAAGTACTTGCTCAAGGAACGCCGTAGTAAAAATGCAAGGGAGAAGAGGTTTCACAGACGAGGAACTCCCGGCTCAGAAGGCAGAACTACAGGTACACGGCGGGGCTATCGCGCGGGGCTCTCGACGCCAAGGGAAAGCAGGTAGATGGTCTGTGTGGTCTCCTGGCGGCGATCCAAGTTGTGTCTACACCACGCTCTGGAGGATTAAGCCTGCAGCAGCATTAGGTCTGAAACACCATGTACATACTTGCAGTCAAATGCTCTACCACTGAGCTATACCCCCCACCATGTACATACTTGAATTAAAAGACACTTTGTTGCTAAAACATACCAACCACATCACTGCCCCTTCCTCTCACGGAATGGTCTCTCCACAGCCTGTGAAGCTGACGGCATCTCACCCACAGAACTGCCTCCGAAGCCGCCGTCCGTGCTCTCAAACCCGGCTGCCGCCGTGCGACTTGGGCCATGGAAGGTTCTAGGTCCTCTGTTGTCTTTCCCCGTCTTCACAGCCTCCATCTCTGGGAAGCGCGTCCTCCGCTCCTCCCTGCGCGGTACCTCCTCAGCCGTGAGTTCAAGCCCGAGTTCAAGGCAGTGCGGTCCCGCGTTCCGGCTCCGCTTGGGGCTCTGGTTCTCCTGCTGCTGGCACCACGTCTGCAGGGACGCCCTCCGCGGACGCCCTAAGCCCCTCCACCATCCAGGGGGGTGATCCCCTTCCTCCAAACTCCTGTGACTGTTCACATTTTGGGTTCTTCCCATGAACCACAAATGTTCTTCAAGACATCTAGGATGATGTGTCCTTTCCAGAAGGTTTTCAGCTGGCTTTGCCCAGCTCCATCGGAGGACTCCCTACCCATGGCCGCTATCACCTTCTTAAATAAGATGACTTGACCATGGACGCTACTCCTTGATCTCCTGGCCACAGATCTGCCTAAACCTCCGCGTCGTCCCCATCAGACGAATCAGAGCTCCTGTGACCAGGTGCACTGCCGGTGAGCGGTCCTACTTCAAAACGATCTTTTCTTCCGGGCAGGAGGTCCCAAGAGTGGGCTTAAAACATTCAGTGAGTCCGGCCATAAGCAGATGGCGGTCGCGCAGGCTCTCGCTCCGTTGATAGAGCTCAGGCAGAAAGATTCCACGTGATTCCGCAGGGCCTGGGACTTCCAGAACGGCCCGTGGGCACTGGCCTCATCTTACCAGCTGCAGGAGCCCCTAACAAGGGGTCAGCCTGTCCTTTGAGGCTTTAAAGCCAGCCACCGACTTCTCTCCAGCTGCCGACGTCCTAGATGGCGTCTCCTCCCCGTACGAGGCTGTTTCGTCTACAAGGGACACCAGTTGCTTGGCGCAGCCGCCTTCCTGAGTGACCGGAGCTCGATCTTCCGGAGAACCGCGGCAGCTCTGACGTCAGCACTGCCGTTCGGTCCTGCACGGGCACGGTCTGGAGACGACCCCTTCCCTGCAGCCTCAGGGACCACGGCGGGCTTCCGGCTGCTCTCCCGCGGCTTCCTCACCTCTCCCAGACGTCCCGGAACTGAAGAGCGCGCAGGCCTTGCTCTGGGTGAGGCTCTGGTTCGAGAGAAAGCTGTTCCCGCTGTGATCTATCCAGACCAGAACCACGCTCTCCGCGTCGGCAAGAAGGCCGCTTCGCTTTCCTACCAGCTGTGTATCCCGGAGAAGCTCGTGTGATTTCCTTCCAGAACCTCTCCTTGCGTTCACGATGTGGCTGTGGGTGCAGGAGGCCTGGCTTGCCACCTGTCTGGGTTCCCATCGGCTTCTCGCGACGCTTGATCGTTTCTAGCTTTCCGATTTAAAGTGGGATGTGGGACTTTTCCTTTCACCTGAACAGAGGGGTGCCTGTGGGGTTATTAACTGCCTAATGTCCATGTTGTTGTCTCAGGAACAGGCCTACCCGAGGAGAGGGCGAGAGAGATGCGGGGATGGCCGGTCCCCAGAGCGGCCAGCACAGAGACCATGTTTACGAAGTTCACCAGCTCCCGTGGGCGTGGCTGCAACTACACTTGTACTCAAAGACCACAGATCGGGGATCATCACAGTAAATCTAGTGACAACGAGAACGTCTGAAGTACTATGAGAACCACCACAATATGACACGAGGCATGAAGTGAGCAAATGCTGTGGGGAAAATGGCACCAACAGACTTGCTCAGCGCAGGGTTTGCCACAAACCCTCAGCACGTAAAGAACACAACGTCTGTGATAAAATGAGGAACAGCAGTAGCTGTCTGAGGCAACGTGAGCTGTGGCCAATCAGGCAACAGTTAGTGAGTACTCCTAACTGTAGGAAATAGATATATATACATTTTAAAGATTTTATTTATTTATTTGACAGACAGAGGTCACAAGCAGAGAGGCAGGCACAGAGAGTGGGGAGGCAGGCTCCCTGCCGAGCAGAGAGCCCGACTTGGGGCTCGATCCCAGGACCCTGAGATCATGACCTGAGCCGAAGGCAGCGGCTTTAACCCCTGAGCCATCCAGGTGCCCGGGAAATAGATACTTTTAAAAGTTTGTTTGTTTATTTGAGGAAGCTCTATGCTCAATGTGGGGCTTAAACCACGACCCAGAGATCAAGTACGCTCTTCTGAATGAGCCAGCCAGGCACCCTGAACTGCAGGAAATACTTTACTTTTTTACTTAAACAAGAGCAAATGACATTTACTGTCACAGAATTAGGGCTGTGTTTCGTGCACTTACATGAATTATTTGTTTCCATAGAAACCATATGAGATGACTTATTTTTCCAACTCACAATAACTCCCTCATGTTAAAACTTTCCCCAGGACAGGACTTCAATTTTAAAATGAGAAAGCCTGTCTCTGTAAAGTCCACTTGTGTGCTATGAACGGAAATATTTAAGCCTTTTCCTCACATGGTTGGCACAGCCTGAGAGATGAGTGCCAGCTCGGGGAACTCAGGGAGCCAGAGTCAGCCCGTCTGAGAGAAGCAGTTCTGTTACTGGTGCTGCTCCTGGTGAAACGAAACCTTCCTGTGCCCTCTTACAATATTCTAGATTTGGAGATAGCAATATGAAAAGAGGAAACTGATATTTGAAATCTTACACAAATAGAGCACAAACGTCAAGAATGTCTGGGCTAC